TCGCTCATCTTGCTGCAGCTCGCCCCATCTCGCCCCAAATCTCGCCCCATCTCGCCCCATCTCGCCCCATCTCGCTCCATCTCGCTCCATCTCGCTGCAGCTCGCCCCATCTCCCCCCAAATCTCGCCCCAAATCTCGCCCCAAATCTCGCCCCATCTCGCCCCATCTCCCTCCATCTCGCTACAGCTCACGAGAGCGACACGACGGCGGTCGCCACTTCCGAGATCGGCATCTCGAGCCGGCGCATGCGGTTGAAGCCTGTTCACAGCCAGGCGTGTGAACAGCGGCACAGTCGGCACATACCGAGGCGGCTGAAGCCGTTAAGGGAGGGAGAGGGGGGGCGCAGCCATCGCGGCTAACCTCAGCCAATCTCAGCCAATCTCGGACAATCCCGTCTAATCTCGCCGTTGAGGAGGGAGAGGGGCACGTAGCCGTCTCCGTCCATCTGCTGCTGCAGGAAGGCGTCGCGACCTGTTCACAGCTCAAACTGTGAACACGCCGCCCGACCGCTGTGCTGCCCGTGGCAGGAGCGGAGAGAGGGAGGCTGCCGAAGTTGGCGGGTGAGAAGTAGTACTCCAGCTGCCGCACCTTCGACGGGTTCAACGAGCGCTTGATGAGTCAATCAGAAGTGAACAGCACCTGCGCGAATTGAAATGCGTGCTCGATTAATGATTATGGACTGGCAGTGCTCGAAGCATTGAGTGTCATCTCCAAATCTCGCCAGATCTCGCCAGATCTCGCCAGATCTCTCCGGATCTCGCCAGATCTCGCCAGATCTCGCCCAGATCTCGCCCAGATCTCGCTGCATCTCGCACCGCCGTCTGCCGCTTCGCCCCGCTGCCGTAGCGGCCTTGCGCCGCGGCGGGAGAGGAGGCTCCTACTCCGCGAGATTAGCCGAGATTACTCGAGATTTACCCCAGGTGCACCCGAGGCGGCGGCAGCGGAGGAGGCGGCGGCGCCGAGAGCGGCGGGGGATGAGGCGACGTTGGCTGCAGCGGCAGCGGAGGGGGCGGAGGAGGAGGAGGCGGCGGCGGCGGAGGAGGAGGAGAAGGGGGGGGCGGCGGCGGCGGCGGCTTCGGATCGTCGCCTCTTGCGCCGCTTGCTCTTGCTCATCTTGCTGCCGCCTCCGCCGTCGGCGGCGCTTCCGTTCACGGCCGCACCGCCGTTTGGCGGAGGGCGTAGTGAAGTGCTGGGGCGCTCACTGTGTGTTATTCGGGTGGGGATCCATCAGTGGTAAGCGGCTTTAGTCACAGATCCAAGCTCAGACGTCACACCAACACCACAAACACGCTCACTTCGCCGCTGCTGTAGATGGGCCTCCGGGGGCCCATGCTACGTCGAAGCACAGACCCGATCTCGGCACTCACGGGCTGCCACGCGCCCGCGCGCGGCGCGGGCCGCACCGCCCATGCCCCCGGGTCACCAACCCCGCCTCTCGGCCCTCTCGGCCCTCAGGAGCGTGCGGGAGACCGGCGAGGGGCGCGCCGCGCGCCGCCTGCAGAGCCGCCAGAGGCATTGTGTCGCCTCCGCTGGCGGGGTTCCCGCGCGCCCGCCCGCGCCCGGACCCGCGCCCGCTGCGCCCGCGGGCTCCGGATGCGCCGCCCTCCTTCTCCTTCTTCTCGATGGCAGTCCGCACGTGCTTGTCGACGGGTCGGCGGCGTGGTCGAGGGGAAGGTCGCCGGCGGCCGCAACTCCGCCGCCGTCGCTCCGCCGGCTCTGACCGAGTATCGGGCGTTGAGGGCGGCGGCGCAAAGCGGGTCTGGCGCATCCATCGCCACGAGCCTCGCGGCCGCGGTCGTGGCACACCTGGTGGCGGCTCTCGGGGCCGTCTCTACGGCGCTCGACGCCGTGTGAGGTCGCCGGCGGCCGCACCTCTGCCGCCGTCGCTCCGCCGGCTCTAACCGAGTATATCAGGCGTTGAGGGCGGCGGCGCAAAGCGGGTCTGGTGCGCCACGGCCACCACCCTTGCCACCGCCCTTGCCGCCGCCCTTGCCACCCTTTGCCGCCTTGCCTCCGCCGCGGGCGGCGGTGGGAGCGGCCTGCTGGGCTAGCATGTTGTCCTTGCTGGGGACGGGCACGTGGAACGCACGTTACATGTTTTCTGACGGTGTGCGAAGGAACACTACACGAGCAACCGGAGTGACGACCGGGACCGGGCCGCATGCCGGGGGAGTGCCCCGAGCCCGACTAGCAGTGACGGGCGCGGATGAGCGAATGAGAGGTCGCTATCTGTGGGAGATGTGTTATTAGAGACTAGGGCTGCCTATCTCTCACTGAAAGGGACCTCTCATTCGCTCGTCCGCACCCGTCACCGCTCACGGAGTGCTCCGCGTGCCGCACCGTCGGGCCGCGTGCCGCCGGCCGCTCACGTAAGTGTAACGGAACAGTGTTACTACTCCGCAACGTTGAGCTGGATCAAACTGACTAGTGCTCCTGAAAGCCCTCTCTCTGGGCTCTGCCACACAGTAGCAGCTCATGACTAGCAGCTGCTGTGGCTGTATTTGTAGCCATTTTTAACCCTCCCCCGTTCTCGCGCCATACGCCGCGTCCTCGAGCCGCAGCTCGACCAGCCTCTCCGCGCGGACGAAGCCGACCATGATGTACCGCAGCCCGCCCGTGCATGGCACGCTCGCGTGCCGCAGCCCGCCGTAGTGCGAGAGCATCTGCCCGCGCCGCGGCGTGTAGACCGCCGCCTCGCTGCTGAAGGCGTTTGGCGGGAAGCGCGTCCCGCCGCCCTCGAAGTCGGCCGGGTCGGAGAGCAGCACGTTGAACGAGAGGCCGAACCCGTCGTCGTCCACGTGGACCCCGAGCCTAAAAAAGAAATGCGGTTCGAGAAAAAAGAATTAGCTGGTCGTCGTCCACGTGTACCAAATGGCCCGCTCTCGCCGGGCGTGCCGCTGAACTTGAGCAGGAAGGTGTCGTACAGCCAGAGCTCGCGCGCCGGAATTCCAAACTGCGCCTCGAGAGCGGGCAGGATCGTGTGGTCGCACTTTTCGTTGAGCCACGCGAGCAGCCGCGGCTCGTCTGCGACGAGCATGTCGGGCGCGCGCACCGCGTTGGCGACGGTCCCCTCGGGAGCAAAGCGCGGCTGCCGGCAGGCCCAGCCGCCCTTGGCCGCGTTGTGCTCCTCCGCCGTCGCAATCACCCACTCGCACTCCTCCTCGCTCGCAACCTCGGTCAGCCAGACCTCCCCGACCCGCCGCGCCAGCGCGTCAAAGTCGACCGCATCGGTGGCGGAGGTGGCGCCGCCGCCTCTGCTGCTGCCGCCGCGGTCGCCGTATCCGGCGTAGCAGAGCGCCTGGTTGGGCCGCCCGTCGATCGCCTCGGCAGTGCGGAGGCTGGCAAAGGCCTCCTCGAACCGCCCCGCCGCTCGCAGCACCTCGGCGAGCGCCACGTGCGCCTCAGAGTCGAGCGGCTCGATCTGAGTCGCGCGCCGGAGAGCCATGGCGGAGGCGTCGAGCCGACCCTTCCCGTGCAGCAGCGTCCCAAGCTCCCGCCACCCGCCCGAGTCGTTGGGACTGCTGAGCACATCCGCACAGACCCGGAGCGCCGTCGCGTAGCCGCCTCCGCCAAAGCGGCCGTCCTCCGCGAGAGACGGAGACGGGAGCTTGAGGTCGAGGGCGGGGAGCTTGAAGCTGCATGCCGCAGAGAGGAGGGCGTGCAGCATATATGCACGGCTCCACCTTCGCGCGAGCGTGCGATACTGCTATGCACGGCACCTGCGCGCTCGAGCGTGCGATACTCAGAGCCGGCCGCAGTCGCGCATTTACTGAGAATCCACACTTGCGCTGTGGGTTCCGCCCTCCCTGCGGGTAGGTGATCCCAAGACTGCAGCCGAACCCAGGCGTGTCACGCTCCGTGTCACGCTCCCATACCCCCCAGTGTCCTGCTCCCACACCCCCCTACCCGAAGAGACCCCGGCGCCCGCCGGCAAGTGTGCCGGCGGGCATGCCCCCACGCCAATCTGCTCGGCCATACAGTGCCCGCCTTGTCCTCTTGAATGGGTCGTAACGGCTCGACGGTGCTCCCGGACCGAACACCCCCTGAGAGGACGTTCGGTCTGTGAGAGTGGTCGGAGTCCACGCCAGCTTGAAGATACTCCCTTAATGTGGGTAAACCATAGTAGCGTGCACGCTACTATGAACAGAGAAGCCCATAAAAGTCGCCGCTGCAGTCCACGACGAGCCAGCCTGCTGCCGGCTCGCACGGCAGCCTCTTCCTCTCGACCAGCCTCAACTTCCGTACAGTCTAAGAAAAAGAATTTAGGCGCATGACCAGGCGCATGACCAGGCGCATGTATCATGGAACGTCTGGACTACTAATCTCTCGAACCCAGGTCACGCTCAGTGTACTAGAGGCGCCTAAGAGGTGCATGACCAGGCGCACTATGGTTGACCGGCGCAGTCAACCGTACCCGTCCACCGTGGATGCGCTTTCGCCCGCCCTTGGATATCTAGGCAGCAGAGGCGACCCAGGCAACACATCAGAGCACGGCCGGGGGCGCGAGCCGCCATCTTGGACTGTCGTGTGAGGCGAGTATTTGCCACCGGGAGCTCGCCGCCGCCTCTACACCGCCGCCGCCGCCCTCCCGAGGCCAGATAATAGCCCAAGTCGAAGAGTGCGCCCTGCCCTCGGTATCTGGGTGGCAGGCGGGACTAGAGAGGCATGCTTGTGCACGGTTGGGGGTGCGAGCCGCCATCTTGGACTGTGAGGCGAGTATTTGCCACCGGGAGCTCGCCGCCGCCCCTCTACGCCGCTGCCCCCCGCCGCCCTCCCGAGGCCAGATAATAGCCCAAGAGCCAAGTCGAAGAGTGCGCCCCGCCCTCGGTATCTGGGTGGAAGGCGCGGGACTAGAGAGGCACACCAGAGCACGGCCGGGGGCGCGAGCCGCCATCTTGGACTGTGAGGCGAGTATTTGCCACCGGGAGCTCGCCGCCGCCCCTACTCGAGTGCACCGCCGCCGCCGCCCTCCCGAGGCCAGATAATAGCCCAAGTCGAAGAGTGCGCCCTTCCCTCGGTATCTGGGTGGCAGGCGGGACTAGAGAGGCGCGCTGGTGCACGGTTGGGGGCGCGAGTCGCCATCCTGGACTGTGAGGCGAGCATTTGCAGCCGGTCGCCGTCGAGAACTCATACTCGAACGCCGCGCGTTTCTCTCTTACGCGGCGCTTCTTGACAGGCGTCAACCTGATAAGACGGCTGTCACCAGATGCAGGCGACGGCCCCGAAGAAGCGGCCGCGCATGTGCGGCACGCCGGGCTGCGTGCTCGAGGACAACCACCTCGGCCCGCACTCCTCCGACTTTCGCTGCCCTCCGGGCAAAGGGTCTGGCGCTTTCCTCCCCGGTTCGCCGCCGCTTCCGCCCACCGACACCGCACGGGTCTCGTACGATGCCCTCGTCGGCACCTGGTGCAGCAACGAGGACCCGCCGAGGTACTGGTGCCCGGGCGACGAGGCCGCCGGCGCGTGGCGACCGTCCCCGCCGCCGGAGCCGGAGGTGGAGTGCACCGTCTCAAAGGGCCGCGCGCTTGTCGCCGCGCCAAAAGTGCGCGGCACGCAGGGGCGCGGGCCGGAGCGGTTCGTGGCGGAGCCCGCCCCCCCGCCGGCCGTGCTGCACGCGGCCGCCCGGGCGG